TTTTTTCCTCTTTTTTTTTTTTTTTTTTTGGTTGACAATAAAGGCTTCAGATCTAAAGATGGGGAATCAAGGAAAGGCCGAATCACGGACATCGTTTCAAGAATGGATCATATCGTTGGAGAGTTTGAGAAAGCTGCTTAGGTTTCCAGAATGTGGTTTACAATTCTACTGCTAGAAAAACTGTGAAAAATAACAATGTTTAAGCTTTTTAAATTACCTATACCGGTGCAACTGTTTTGTACTACACGATAATTATAGTATCTTCATCTATTTTATCTTGTTTTATTTTACTGTGTTCTTTTATGGTTGAAAAGTGAGCTGCTAATTAAGCTAGATAGTAAGAGGATTCTTAAATATCTTTTTTTTTTTTTTAAACTGAGCTTTATTAATTAAAGGACTATTCGTTTTGTTAGGTGTTTATGGAAGGCCTAAAAGGATGAAAAGATCGCTCTTTCGCAATTAGCCTTGACCTTTTTCTTGAAAGCCAAACATCAAATTGTCTTGCAAATTATTTTTGAACTGTAAATGCTGTCGAACTTCTCGATAAAGGAAGTGTATCAGACAAGATCAAATGAAGTTAAAACGGTTGTGTCCTCTTATTGGAGAATCAAACACTTATTTATTTGTTCATATGTATTAGACCACCTTTTACAGAAAAAATAAAGAGTCAAGAAAGCATACTGTATTTTTGTTAATGGTTGCTCTCTCCAATTTATAGAAGTTTACACTTGTATAACATATTGCCTTTATTCATAAGTGTTCCCCAGAATAGAGTCCATGTCCGAAGAGAAAGTTATACAACTAGGGAATGGAAGAGCTTTTCAAATGGATGAAATGGGGATTCAATGCTTGTGCTTACAAGAAGCTTAAAAAAAGGGCAACTCAGTGCACTAAGCTCCCGCTATGCGCGGGGTCCGGGTTACAAGAAGCTTCTATAATAAAATAAAATTGCACAAACTTGTCTATCAAATAGAGAAGGAAATATTTTCAACAAGCTATTAGCAAGAAAGGAAAAGAAATAATTTGTGCCTTCAACCACATAAGACATGTTTTACTTGGGACTTCCCTGCTCTATGATGATTGATTCTCCATATTACCATCTAAAAGTTACTAATAAATCTTCTGTTCAGTCAGCATCAGCATACAGTTGACAATAAGTTTGTGCTCCAGGAGGATAAACTGGACAACTTCGTGAGTTTCCTCGAAAAAAGTGGTATTGATCTGAATAGGTTCAGGTGTTAATTTGTATGTGTGCCTCTTTCCAATGGTATGGAGGACGCCATTTAGACACGAAGGTGTAACAAAATTGGTTGAACGATAAGAGAGCTACTCCTACATCATAGGATTCTTTGTGCCCCCACTAAATCTCTCTTAACCTTGAGAAAGTTTTCAGCATTTTTTGGCATTTCCATTTCAAATGTACATGCCAAAGATTACTCAATATTAGAAAGGTATTGTCCTCGAGTGAGGAGTACCACAGCTATGGTATTGGTGAATTGGTTGAAGAAAGCAGGACCCAAGCCCCGACAGAGTTTGAGCACCCGAAGCTTCAAACCATAAGATGTAATCAAGAAGAACCAGTTGGAAGAGCCATAGCACTCTGATTGTATAATATCAGCAGCAGCTTTACATGGACTTTATCCGCTAGTATCCATACACCAGGGACTATTATTTCTTAAAAAGAGATGTAACTCAAAATTTGAACCCAAGGAGGAGGCAAGCTCATATAAGCTAGGGTATCACTATCTTTGGAATGGTCAACTGGAGTAGGCCGAAGAATGGATGTGTTGCTAGCTACAGTCAGAGCTCAGGATTTGAAAATTTGTTGACCTCCCAATAGTCAATCAACTATGTCTCAATAGTAAACTAGTTGGGGTCAATTGAATGAATCCTCTTGTATCTACCAAGAGGATTCACCATGGTTAGACTATCTCTATGCTGCCTGTCAACCTAGTGTAATCCTTCTCCTCAATTCGGGCTTGAGACCGAGTTTGCTTGAGACATATTGAAGTCATGGAGTTGACATTGTTGACCTCTCACACAGAGATTCCAGCCAAGAGCAAATTAAAATATTTGCGCTTCTTAAATATCGCCTGTCAATCACTGGTAGATGAATCTATACAGATATCTTGTATACTTACTCCTCAAACTGCAACGAGAACATGACATCAGGCACATATCCTGAATCAAACAATTGGGCCGTCAACCCAGTCAAAACTTGCTGCAGATAGCTTTCTTGAAGGGACATAATATTACACGCAGAGAATGTATATATTTTATTCTGCAACTCAGTCCAACTATATCCAGTTTCCTTCTTTAATGATTTCTCCTTTATCAGCTTTCTCATCTTGGCCGTTTCATCCCACATCTGTAACTCCGCATAGATATTAGACAATACGATATAGGCTGAAGTATCATCTGGATCAATACCTAAAATCTTTTCAGCGGCATATTTCCCCAAGATGAAGTCTCCGTTAGCTTTGCAACCAGACAAGAGGCACCGCCACACCACCTTATCTGGCTCCCCTGGAAAGTTCTTTATAAAACCATAAGCTTGTTTTGTTTGTCCTTTGCGTGCAAATAGACTCACTATACAAGCCAAGTGATCTGTCCTTGGAATGATTCCATAAACCTGGGTCATGCTATTGAAGTGATGAAGTCCCTCATCTAAAAGTCCAACGTGTCCACAGGCAGATAATACTCCAAGAAATGTGATATCATTAGGTTTAACCCCACTGTTTTGCATAGTAGCATAAATCTCTAAAGCTTCTTTCCCAAACCCATGTTGCGCATATCCTACAAGCATGGTGTTCCAAGATACCAGGTTTTTCGTAGGAAGGATGTCAAAAACTCTACGTGCTTCAGAAAGTCGTCCACATTTAGCATACATATCAATGAGGGTGCTCCCAACAACCACATTGGAATCAAATCCAGGCTTCAGAACACGACAATGGGATTGCTTGCCCCATTCAATAGCTGGTAAATCCCCACAAATGCTCAAAATGCTAGAGTAAGTGTAAAGACTCGCTTCGAAACCCTCAAGCAACATCTCCTTGAGAAATCTGATCGCATCTTCATATCGACCTGAGCTCACACATGCAGCAATTAGCGTATTCCAGCTAACAACATCATGTTCTTTCATTTCTTGAAAGAGCTTTAATGATTCCTCAAACAGGTCACTTTTGGAGAAAAAGTCCATCAAAGCATTGCATACGAAACTAAATGAGTCGAATCCCAATTTTACAATCCGGCAATGGATCTGTTTCCCAACTCGAACTCCTTTTACATCAGCAAAAGCTCCAAGAACTGATGAAAAAGTTGTCTCACTTGGTTTCAAGTCTGAGGAAAGCAACTTACAGAAAAGGTCAATGGCCTCTCTTCCACTCCCTAACTGCACACAGCCACCAATCATTGCAGTCCAAGCATGCAATTCCCATGCATCTGCCTCATCAAAAGCTCGACGTGCCAAGTCCAATACACCACATTTTGCATAAAAATCAATCAAACCAGTCACCAAAAACTGATCCATCCCAAAACCAGACTTGACAATCAGACTATGAATTTGCATACCAAGTTGCAAACTTTTCATAGCAGCACAAGCATTCAAAACACTCCCACAGAAAAACTTATTCACTATCCCCCCTAACCTCAAAGCCAACAAGAAAATCCTCAACCCTTCCTCATACTCCCCACACTGGCAATAACAAGAAATGAGAGAAGCCCAAGTTACAGAATTGGGTTCCAAAATGCCATCAAAAACCAATCTTGCTGACTTCAACAACCCACATTTGCCATAAAAATTAACCAGACAATTAGTCACAAAACTATTAAGGCTCTCCTCAGTTCTATACATCCTCCCATGTAACTCCTTCCCTGTTCTTTCAGCTCCTAAACTAGTGCAAGCCGATAAAGCAGCTACATATGTATAACCATTTGGAGCAAACCCATCTTCAAGAACCATTGATCTAAAACAATCCAAAGCTTTCTCAGACATACCCATTTGAGAATATGTGGAAATCAACGTTGTCCAAGAAATGATGTTTCTTTCAGGCATTCTGTCGAACAGTCGTTGGGCATCATCGAACTGATTGAGCTTTAAGTACATGGCGAGCAAGTGATTGTTTGTGAAAACGTTTGCTTTGGACCCAAATTTGAGTAGCTTTGCATGGACTGCCTTGCCATTGAGCAGGGACTTTGAACTGGTGCATGCCCGAAAGAGTGGAGTAAAGGACATGAAAGAAAATATAGAGTAATAATGACTACAGTGAATATGTAAAATATTTACCTAGCGATTTCTAATTTTAAACACAAACATAAACTTAGGCTATATATAACTTCTTGAAACTCTTGAGAAAAATAATTTTGCCTAATGGTATCAGAATGTAAGTTGAGTTGACTAGGAGATAAAATGGTTAGTATTACTTTTTATTGTTTTAATCATTTATGGGTTTTTTTTTTCTTAAGGAAATTGGCTCATCACTTCTTATCATTGAATCGTGTTAGTTATCCTATTAATTAATGTCTAACTTAATTCTTTTAGATTTTCACTAAAATAAGTTAACATTATGAACTAGTGAAAGTGTCTTATAATTTCTTGTGGTACTCAAAATACATCCCGCCTAACAATAATAAAAGTTTAGTGACTTTAAATTAATCACCTTTCAAGAATTAGTATATTTTTTCTCTAACCAACTTTTGGAGCAAATCAGAAGATACTTAATTATCATGATTGGCTTAATACACACCCCTCTCCAGCTTGCACATTTCTGGTTTACACACCCCAAAAAACGACTTTCTTTTTACACTATTTATGGTACAGGTACTTCCTAATTATTTTTTATTTTTATTTTTTTTACTTCCTAATTATTGAATCCCAAATCTCAAGGAAGAAACCTTTATACGGTAGAAACCAGGCTCGTCTACGATCTGGTAGATCGAACTCGGAACATGAGGTACTAAAGATCGACCCCCGGTCTCACCGGGCCAGAACCCGTGATCAGAATGTCCGTTTTCGAGAACATTGAGTGTGATCCCGAAATCGACCCTGACCCCAAACGAACTCGAGAAAACATTGTTAGTGTAACCAACAGAAGACTGAAATAACAGAAGCCCGAAATATTCATGACCAGTCGAATATTACGACGGGAATCTCGGCACGTATCAATGAAGAAACGACAAATCAACAAATTAGGAGATTTTTACCTTCTATAGAATTGTACCTAAAGTAGGACTCCCCTACTATATAAAGAGGGTCAGATTACTTGTAAAATACATTGTAACACGCATTCTAAAGCATTATATTATTATTTTCTTTCTTTAAGCTCTTGTTCTTCCGTATCTTGCTATCGATCGAATTGCATCCGGTTCAAGTGTGATTGATTTTTCCAAGGCTGTAACAATTCAAGTTGTGCGGTTTGAATTTACGTTATCATTGCTTATTTCAATTGTATTTTTAATTTATCGCTTTGTGTCAATTTAATCCACGTATCCTTAAAACCACTTACAAATTCAATTGTTATCCGATTTTGAGGATAAATAGTTTGGCGCCCACTGTGGGGCTAAGGATACTAGTGATTGTTTGATACAAATTTTCATAACACACACTACTTTACACTTGTTCTTTGAAGTGCCTCTAATTTCAAGTTAAAGCTCAAAATGTCAAACTCACAATTGGCACCCCTACTTGTTGAAAATGAATCCAGTCACCACGGTGAAAATAACAACATAGCGCTCGGTAATAAGGTACCGGCCGTTGATCCCATCGTAATTCTAGCCGTGGACCCGTTGGACGCTAACTCGCATGTGGCTATCAATACAAATCTGCCTACCGACCCCGAGAATAACATCCATGGTGGAGCCCGATCGGTAACGCAAAATACTCAAAATAATGGAGGGGACGAGATCAATTCACAGATGATCTTCGAAATGCTACAGCTCAACAGGCGGCAATAGCTCAACTACAGAACCAAAGTCGTGCACTGAGCAGAATTGAACCCGATCCGTCCCGGGAAATCACCTGTAGGGACGAACCGGTCGTAGAGAGGTCGAATGGAAACGAATTGGGGACTAATACCGTGATCATAAAAATGCTCGATGAGCTGACAAAATGGATATAGTCAGGGGAGAAGAAAATCAAAGCAAATGACAATGTCACGACCTAAGCCGATAGGCTACGACGGGCACCTGGTACGTTACTCGACCGAGTACCAATATAACATAGTTTTCTTATCGTGTTGTCATGGGTAAATGGTCCAAAAGGACCGTCATGAGATAACCAGAATAAAATATAAGGGAATACTAGATATAGGACGACCCAACATGATATAGAAACTTATACATGTGACGTACAAGCCTATAAGACCGACATGATCATTTGTAAACTCAAAACATAGTCCTACAAGGCTATACAAGTATCCATATACCTGACATCTGTATACAAGCTTCTAAGAGTACATAAACGTCATAAAGGTTGGGACAGGGCCCCGCCATACCAGTCAATACATGTCCAAATCATACTGACCAAATAGGCAACTCCAAAGCAAGTGGAGTGCACCAACACCTTCGGCTGAGCTGATAGCCTACTAGAAAGACTGTCAACCTGTCTATCAGAACCTGCAAGAATGAAATGCAGCATCCCTAGGTAAAAGGGACGTCAGTACTGATAAAGTACCAAGTATATAAGGAATGAAAAATAGTATATAAAAGACATGAAAGAAACATGGAGTAATAGACTTGACCTGTAAGTTTGTATTGCTCTGTGAATCATGAAACATTTATAATGTCATGCATGTGTCTGTAAGTGTCATATCATGCATAGGTATATGTGTACATAACATCATCAAGCCCCTAAGGGCATCTCATCATACCATCTCGGCCTCTGTGGGCGAAATCATCAATATATACCAGCTGATCAGGTGGTGGTGCGTATATAACGCCATAACCTTTCCCCTTACCCCATATACATATAATATACGCGTATATAATACTATCTAGTCATGGATCAATGTACATGTATAAATGAATGCAATGCATAAGAAGTAAGTCAATAAGATCTTTTGTAATGTTATAAGATCATTATGCCTTCGGATAAACTTTATCAACTTACGTATTTTCTAAGACCCATGAAGAAACAATATAATAATATGACACATGGGGATTCAAGAACATAGGCAACCTTAGTACTTCTACGAATAGAGTCACTTGTGAAAGTTGCGTGTTTGCTCGTTTCGCTGTATCATATGGATCATGCCAAAAGGAATTAAAGGACAGCCTTAACATACCTTAACTTTGTTGAGTCCTTAATATCTTCCAAGCAATTCTTCAATTAACTCAACTAAATCTACCATAGCATAAAGAGAATCAAAATCAGTGTTGAGTAAAGGCTAAGTCTGCAACTTAAACTAGTAGCACGTTTATGTAAATTTGGGCAGCATCTCTCCTGTAACAAGGGCCTCCTACAATACAATATACCAACAAAACAACCAGAGAAATTCAGCAATATATAAATATCAATAACAAGACTCTATATAGCAACAAAAAGTCACAACTACTTCACGACGAGCGGCAAGCTCCGATTAGAATCTGTATACTCCATATCACCCCTTATAGACTTCTTACTTCAACTTAACAGTATCATTAACATGATAATGAAGTCATTCATCAATGATTACATCCTTATACCATATATTTATAACAACAAAAATAATCCACAACTCCAACTATCCTCAATTCACTAGTTCATGTCTAGTCCATCCATTTAACTTAATCAACATCAAGATAACCCTAAGAACATGCAAGAAAATAATATAAATACCTACTACAGTAGCTTTAAGTTAAAATCCAATTTATATTTAGCTTACAACAACCCTCAATGGCAATACAACACCATAGAAGTGACATAAGCTAATCCAAGTATTATCTTGTAGTTTATCATCCTAACAACTTAACCAACATACAAGAAAGATTAAGCACAATTAGTAGGCTGTTATACTCACCTTCTCCAGTAGAAACTACTTGAAATTTCAGCCAAACACAGCCCACAACTATCCTCAATGACAACACAACCTCAAAGAGGTGTTGTTCTTCACTAGAACTAACTTTTGATGTTGAAATATGGTGTAATCACTTTGGAATCACTTCAAACCCTCATGGTATCTATTTAGGAGGGGTAGGAGAAATGTGGAGATGAATTTGACTCGTAAATGAGCATAAAATAGGCATCCAAATCGCTTTTAAAGTGAAGTAGGTCGAGCACCGCCTAAGTGGGTCTTGGGAGCTGCTTGCGCAGTCTCGCGAAAATACGAATATCTATCTACTACAATGTTGTATCGACAAACGGTTTAATGAGTAATTAATAGATCTTTAATTTGATAGGTATATCATCCAATAATTATAAGTATATTTGGAGAAAAGCTCAGCTATATTTGGCCTAATTTTCAGCATATTATGAATGTAACTTATGATGACCTTTGCCAACTTTTGTTTCACTGCTTGCTTGACTTCAAAACGTATCACACGACTATCATAAGACTAAAATAACTTATATCATAACCTCCTTATCATGTTAAGAACCCTAGTCTCACCCCAAAGTACATGTTATAACATTTCAAACTTGTCAACTTTCGACGAAACGTATTTTCTTCAATTGGTTTAGCTTCTAAGCTTTCCAACCATTTTGGTACTTGTTATTCATCATCTTAAAGATTTGTAACCTCAAAGGTAACATGATTAACTTACTTTATGTACTTTCAAAAATGATCTCATTTTTGAGCTTACATTAATTGTATAACGACGTACTCTTACGTGCGAAAACATGGGGTGTAACATCATTCCCCCCTTTGGAACATTCATCATCTCGAATGTTCACTGATGTGCTTATCAGTCTCATAATCTATAGTCTTGCAAATAATTTAATATTGTCCTTGCCATCTAAGCAATTGTTCTGTGAATAAATTCAAAGGCCAGAGCATTCCCCCCTTTAGGCCTCTTTCTCACACAACAACTTGTGGTCGGAATCCTTCCAATCTCGTAATTGTTCCTACCTTCTATCATGCAGCATGTACGACTCTGACCTTGTAAGTACGCCAATGCGACTATTCTCTCCTTTTTCCTCCAACTTTTAGCCAATATCTAGGCCTTACGTTGGGAACATATACAAAATTTGGCAAGTTGTCCCTCTGGGCATCTATAGGTGTACTGAAGTTCTTCGCTTGGTACTTTGTTGAACTTACGACT